GCTACTAGTTTCCTTATACTATGATTTTAGTTTATATTTGAGTTCAGCATTTCTTGTTTTTGCTGTAAGGTTTTTGTAACTAGAGCGCATGAATTTTACAGGTGTTTTTGTCCTGGGTTTTTTTATGTTGAACAGACTGCCGTTTCTAATGCCCATTCCTGTTTCCTGCAGTTTACAGTCCACTATAATAGAGAGCTCTGCCATGAATATGTTGAAGAGGAGAGGTGCTAAGACACATCCCTCTAACTCCTGTTTTTGTTAGGGAGGGATCGCCCTTTCATGACGTGACACTCTTGACTTGTTCTTGTTATGGAGGCTTTTACACACTGTAAAAATTTTGTTGGGCACACCGAACTTTTGCATAGCTGCCCCAAATGCATCTTTGTTAACAGAGTCGAAGGTTTAAACCGTAGACTTAAAATAAAATATAGACTGAGCATATCATTCATAAATAGCTGGAACATGCGGTCAGACACTGTCTTGTTATTGTTGTGTTATTGTTTTAGGTTATAACGAGTGCGACACGAGCGATAGATAGGTTGTCTCTGTCGTAACGGTCGTTCCCTGACGACTCTGCCGAGAAACACAACACTGTCTTTCGTTTCTCAAGTACACCTGAACTCTCCGTATCATAGCCGGGTAATTTTTTTTATTTTAATGAAGCTATAATTAAATTAAAAATATATCGTATTTAAACTTTTTTATATTTTATTAAGATTTAGGACAGGTTTTTCAAATAAAAGTTTAGAAAAACAATTTAGTAGCAAAAGGATAAAAATAATAAAATACACGTTATAGAAGAAATCTTATAATCGAAATTAGGTAATTTTGAAATTAATAATAAATTATTAATTTTAGTCAAACATTTACAACCCCTAATATTAATCAAAACAGGATCTATTCCACAGATATAATAGAATCGGCGATAGGGAGAGAAAAAAAATATGATTGTTGTAATTTTTTTTCTAGTTAAGTGATGTCTTATTATGTAAATTAGAGAAAACATAAATCTGTTCCATTAAAGCAAGGAAGGTGATAGGAAGTGGATAAAATAAAAACTACATTTATTTAACTCGGTACTGTCTTTATTATACCGGGTGCGTCTCAAAAGTGGCTCATCCCCCATAATTTTTTATATTTTCAAATAAAAAAACAAGATTTAGTATGTTAGTATATGAAATAAATTAGGATTGATTGACGCATTCAATTGTTTTGGTCACTTCCTGTTTCACCGGAAATGACTATAACTTTTAATTTTTAAACGGCACCCTCGGTATATTTCTACTTTATTCGATAGAAAATGACACTTTGAATAGAATGACATATCATATGTCAACTTTTGACATTTTCGCATATGGTTTAATTGTAATTGTAACACGCGGTTCATAACGACAATTTGACTCGAAATACCAAGTGTGTGGTATCAATATATTTATAAAAAAATGCTTTTTCCAAATATGCTAATGAATCACCTTTGAAAAAATTGACATATGTATGATTAAAAATACGATTTGTACATCTTTTAACCGGCCTAGACAAGACACGAAACCTATTAGACGATCAAAACTATTTTTCCAAGGTTCCTTGATTAAAACTTAGTGGATTGAAAAAAACTGGATTGAAATTTAAAATAGGATATGTTTTTAAGCGACAATGTCAAAAGTTGACATATGATATGTCATTCTATTCAGAGTGTCATTTTTATCGAATAAAGTAGCAATATACCGAGGGTGCCTTTAAAAATCAAAAGATGTAATCATTTCGGTGAAACAGGAAGAGACCAAAAACAATTGCATACATCAATAAATCCTAATTTATGTCATATACCTACTAACATACAAATCTGTTTTTTTTATCTGAAAAATAAAAAAGTTATAGGGTTGAGCCACTTTTGAGACGACCCGGTATATTAAAAAATATTGTTTCATAATGTAATATCATTTTAAAATTCTTGTACGTTATTTTAGATTCTGAAGATAATTTTGGAATAAACCGAATATATTTTTAATAAAAACATTATTAATTATTAACAGGTTATAATTATGATTTTGTTACAATGTAAGTAAGTAAATAATGTAATGTAAAAGAAAAAATTCAGATTTTACATTTTACTAAAATATTATCTAAATAAGTGCCTTTCTACAACAACGCCACTGACTGCCAATGGGTAAATTGAGAGTTGCCTACCGGTCAAAAGTCGTTTCAAGACTTAAATGGATTATTTAAGTCAAATTTCTTGCAAATTTGGCAATTGTAAATAGTGTAGTCTATATTTTATTTTAAGTCTATGGTTTAAACACAATAAACCAATGAACACAGAATAACAAATAACAAATGTAATATACAAAATACTATGTAGACATTAATATAAATAATTAAAAATTTTATGTTAGTGAAATACCTAGCGAATTAAAGAACATAAGGATTCTTTTAAAAAGGCCGATTTTCACACATCTAAGATTTGTCAGCATTCATGGAACACAGAAGGCACAGAGTAGATTTTAACAACGCAAAAATTATGATGAAAGAACCGACAGCCTCTAAACGAGTGCAAGTATTGTAAGGGGTGGTAGATGTCAATAAAAGAAACATATTTTCTTTTTATCGTTTTTCAAATAAGTCCAAAATAACGGAGTTATTTTACTTTCAATATTTAAAAAAAAATATTTTTTTGCTAAAATTTTGAGAACCACTGGATCTTTTCTGGATTTTATTTCTTGTAAATTTAATCTACTACCTATGTTGCCATATTTGTAAGAAATTATTTTTTTTAAATAAAAAGTAAAAAAAATATCCAAAAAAAAAATTAAAAAAATCCGAATTTTCAAAATTTGTTTTTCGGGAAAAAAATCATAGGCGTGTTTCTGGGGTTGAACTATACTACCAGATAAAATACTTGCACTTATTTCTGGGACACCCTTTATATGTTGTTGGTTATGGAATTTAGGACATTTTACAAATAAAACATGACAATGCACTTAGAACATTATTTACCTCAAGTATTCAATTAGTATAATTGTCGAGATTAAAGCTTGATTTTCATGCATCCGTTGTCCGACGATACGTTGATACGATATTAATTTCATTGGTTGTATTTAAAGGCTTCGATAGGTTAACCGTTTCTAACCAATCCAAGTCTTTAACTTCAACCAATAAAATTAATAATGTGTTCTTTTTTTATAAATTGGATTAGGATCGAAAGAAATCAACAGAAGTCCTTTGTTTTAAATTTGTCGACGTTTCGCAAAATTTATTTGCATCTTCAGGACACTACAAAGTTTAGAGAGCAAAAAATACAATCCAATAAAAGTTTTTCCAAAAATCTAACAAACAACTTAAAATACATATCAGTGGAATTCCACACATATACAATTGGTAAAACTACCCTAATGTTAACAATTAAATAAAATATATGTATATGTTACTCACATTTAAATCTGGACTTTCTTAGTCATATCCATTAATACACGGATGGTATAGAGGGGAGTGGTATATATCCCTTTTTTCCTTTTAAAACACATAACACACTTACATAAAAAAAAACATATAACACAATTATGTATAGAGAAATATCACGAAAATCTTTTCCTTTCACAGACAAGCAGTGCAGATGTACCTACGTTGACCGTATACAGAGAGCAACTAATTCTAGTTGATAAAATACTAATATAATTTTTACCTGGAGATAAAGAACAGTTGAAAAAAGAAACATATAAAAATATTATTTGGATTTAAACCATTATTTTGAAGTTATATTATTTAATTTTTGAAAGAATATTAAAATATGCTGTACTCAGGTTTTCTACGTCTGTTCTTTTATTAACGCAATTTTTGTTTTTTTGGATTTCTATCATCTCTGCAAATAATCTTTTCTTATAATTAGATTGTGTTTGTAAAATAGTGGTATTGTCAAAATCGAAGTTATGGCCTGTCTCTATTTTGTGTTCTACTAATGCGGTAGGATTAGATTTCAAAAGAAAGTTCCTTTGATCATTTTTATGTTCATTCAATCTTTGTTTTAAATATCTACCGGTCTGCCCAACATAGCTTTTAGGACATTGAGTACAAGGAATGTTATATATTATGCCGGATTTCAGTTCTTTTTTATTCTTTGATTTTGTTTTTGAAAAGAACCGTCTCTTTATGGTGTTATGACTCCTTGTTGTAATTTTTATTTTTTCCTGTTTTTTTGTAGTATGACCCTTAAATGTGTTTTTAATTTGTTCTGACAGACAGTCGATATAAGGTATTTTACAATAAACTTCTCTATCATTTTGGTTAGTAGATTTTACAACGGTTTTCTTGTTAAGAATTTTTTTAATCATAGATATTGGATAATTATTTTTAATCAACATGCTTTCGATATATTTTAAATTTTTATTATGAAAATTAATTGATGATAGTGATGTAGCTCTGATTTTCAGGTTATTAATAACATTAATTTTTTGTTTCAAAGAATGTTCGGAGGAATAATTGAGAAATCTCTCAGAGAATGTCGGCTTGTGATACCAATCTGTCTCTATTAATTGATTGTGTCTAATTAGTCTCACGTCAAGGAATGCTATGCTGTTGTTTATTTCTTTCTCCAATGTAAATTGTAGTTTAGGGTGATAACAATTAAATATGTCTAATATACTTTGTTCTTGATTAATAGGAATTGAAGTTATAATATCATCAACATAACGTTTAAAAAACGGCAATTGAAAAGGAAGTTTTTTAATACATTGATCCTGTAAATCCTGCATAACTAAATCAGAACAAATCGGTGATAAACAATTACCCATTCCCAGTCCATATATCTGTTGATAAAACTCATCTTGGTATTGAAAGTAGTTGTTATCAAAAATAAATGTTAACAGTTCAACAAATCTATGTAAGGGAATTTTTATTTATATATACAATAAAATTAATATCGTATCGTCGGACAACGGATGCATGAAAATCCTAAATTATTAGGACGCTATAAATTTATAACTCTCATAATTATCATTTTTTTTTAGTCGAAGCAGGTACTCTAGGACTAGAAGTCAGCGCCTGTGAAACTTTGGAAATCTGCCAAAGATATTGCCAGTTAGATAAACCAGGAACCACAGGGGATTGCGAAAAGAAAAATCAACTTGATCAAAATATTTGTAGCTGTAACTAAATATAATACTGAATGTTATTTTAGCATTATATATCTAGTGTAGTTTTATATAAGTTTACTAATTTTATTACTACTGCTAAAAGATCACTATGTGATAACATATATTTTTATACAAGATAAAGTTTGTTTTCAGTGGTGTTACTGTAATTAAAATTTCATATAAATTAGACATGGGGTAGACAATAAACTTAAACTTCTTAAAATACTTCTTCTTAAAATTATTAAAAAAAATAACAGGGTTTCAGTATTATCATTCAATTAGGTAAAATCAGCAAATAAAATATATCTAAAATTTGAGCAGTATTTTAATCGCCTTTTTTTTCATGTTCACCTCGATGTTCACTAAAAATTGACTAAACTAGATATTATTGTTCGAAGTACTAGAATGTAGAATGTTTAGGAGGGGAGTTAATCACCGCGACGTTATAGACCTATTGTATGTTCCATTTCTTGAATTATAACGAGTTATAACTCATCATACAGTCTCAGGGCTTTAAGAAAAGCCAGTATCTGAGACGGCTCCACAGAGGCCAGCTCTCCATCCTCGACATCAGCCGTACCAAAGTTGACGGCACGAATGATCGTCGTCTCGGCGCACTCAGTGATAAGGTGTTCTGGTGTTTCCCCATTTTCCCCACAGAATCTGCATTCGCCGTTGTTTCTCAGTTTCAGCCTACTGAGGTGTTCGTTGAGGAGACAGTGTCCTGTTAGAAACCCCGTGACAATCCGAAGATTGTTTTTACTTAAATCAAGGAAAACCTTTGATTTTTCCCGGTCATAAGTTCTAAGGAACTTTTTCGAGTGTGTTAGACCGTTGGGGGGCACCCATTCCAAGTTACGGATGGAGTCTTCCAGATTCTTCAGTTCCGCTTTCAGTTGGTTCCCGCTTAGAAAAAAGAACGGTTCTGGTCCAGTTAGTGGAGTGTTCGCCCTTTTCTAGCTAGATCATTTGCTTTTTTCATTGCCTTCTATCCCTTGGTGAGCAGGCACCCAGAGTAGGAGGACTTTATTTTCTTTGCCTAATTTGTTGAGCTTCTCTAGGCATTCTTTGACCAACTTCGAATTGATGGTTACTGAGTTGATCGCGTTAAGTGCTGCTTGACTATCGGATAGGATGGCAATTTCCTGTTTTCGATAGTTCCTATCTAAAATAAATTGTACGCATCTTTCGATAGCGCAAATTTCTGCCTGGAGGATACTGGGGTAGGTGCCCATTGGTTCGGAGTATTCAGTTTTCGGCCCAAATACTCCTATCCCTGTCCCTGCTTTGGTTTTGGAAGCATCAGTATACCACGTGATGGTATAGTCTTTTATATGCTGAGTAAGCGTTTCTTTCTTCCAATCCTTTTTATTACTCAATACTACAGTGAGGTGTTTCTCAAAGTTGTAAATTCTTGGTATGTCATCCACTGGGAGTTGTAGAAGTGGAATTTTCTTTTTTGAGGGTATTCCAAGCCCCTGACCTGAAAATTCCCCCAATACTGTTTCCGTCAGTAACCATTCTAATCATTGTCGCATTGGCATAACTACCGACGACAATGTGCAGTGGTGTTAGGTCTAGAATGACCTCCATTGCTGCTGTTGGACATGTTCTCATGGCACCTGTGATGCAGATATATTCAAAGTACTAAGCATTTTACCAAATAATTTCCTAAAATCAATTAAAATATGCCATAATTTTAATACATGATATTATATTCTTTAAGCCAATTTTTTATGAAACTGTTTCTCAAATTAGTATCGACAAAAAACCCAACCAACTCAAACCAAACACCAAGGGCACTGCAGTGATGCCAATTCGTGGTACAGTTCGACATCAAGAGGGAAAAAGGAAATTTTAACTCAAAACACCATATTCGTGGAAAATTCTAAAATTCATGTATTATTGGTAAAAAATAGTTATCGTATTCAGCAAACTGAGTAAATTGAACCCTTTTATAATGATAAACGATACCTTACTTTGAAAACCCCGCAGGTTCAATTTTTGGCAAAAATTATATTTATAGCCATTCATTCCATAAAGACCTCATAGTCTATTGTAAGTCGATAAGGTCACTTAAGTAACGCGACGACGACGTGGACGCCATAGTGGACGCGTCAACATTTTAATTGCCGACGTGACATTTTTTGACATCGCAAAACTCTGTTTATTGCTTATGGCAAAATAAAACACTAAATCACCACAATACACCAAAACACTTTTACTTTTACACTGGACGCGCGTTTCGCTAACCATGTTAGCATATTCAGCAGGTGATCGAGACTCAACTATTTTGATCAACTACATGATCGAGACTGGACAATAATAAGAATCTAAATTATTATTGGCGGTGTCTCTAATGTCTATTTAATTTTATCAACCGCAACTTTTTTATTCTAAAATATTAATTAAATACTTCCCACCCCAACTGCCACTAAGTGGAAAAGAAACTTACCGTAATGTAATCCGCAAAACCGTCTTCGTTTACGATTTTCTTTCTCGTTCGGAAGGCAGTTAGCCGGTCGGTAATCCATTATTTTCTTTGCGAAATATTTCGCAAACAATAGCGCAACATAAATGTCTTTTCTGATACAATACTAAGACCAATTAACTGTGAGTAATGGCGATATCATTTATCATTTCGGAGGCATCTCAGTAGCGCAGACGAGCGAGGCTAAAATGTTCCGAATTATCTTTAATGGTTTCTAGATGTCGTTTATAAGAACTGAAAAGTAAATTCCATTGTCCTTAGAGGTACTAGTTATTAATTAGTTTATTATAGTATTAATTCTATTATTATAGTAAACTAATTGAAAATTAAATAGTAGTATTTGGTGCGAGTGGGTATCCAGGGCTGGTGACTGCAAGTCAGTTCCCAAAATTTATTTAAAATTAAAAATCCTCATTATTAAAAATCCATTAATATATTTAAAATTAAAAAATCTAAAAAAAGTTTTTTAAATGCAGCACCCTGTACAGGGTGCTGCAAATTCGAGGTACGAGCATTGGTATCTCGAAAACCGTAATAGATACGAAGATGGTTAAATGCGGTTAATGGCCTTCTTGGGATGTTCACCAAGATGCCATCAAAAAAGTTTTAAAAATTTCAAGGACTGCTGAGATTTTTGGAAAAAAATGATTTTTTTGGAAATTAGTTTTATTTTTTTCTGTCGTTACTTTTTAGAAAATCCAAAAACTAATTGCACATTTTCATAGCCACTTTATAAGGGCTATCTGATAGTATTTTTAGATTTTCAAATTAGCTGATAATTTGTGAGATACAGAGGCCAACTTAATTTTTTTAAATACGGGCCTGTATTTTTTATTTCAGATTGTGAAAGAACTCGCTCTCTTGAGTACAATGATGTGCCACACTTGATACTTTTTTTGTTTTGGGTAACTTAACCATAACAAAACTATTTAATTATTATTTAATATTATTTCAAGTCCGACTGGGTTTCTAAATTATTTAATCTGATTATATTCATCGCAACAATATTGATCAGCGCTAATTAACATTGAATAAGAAAAATCGAGCTAATTGAACACTCATTTATTTTTCGTTCAATCTTATTTATAGCTCTTTGAACATATCTTCTTCTTATACTTCCGAATGCATTTTGTACTCTTTATTGTAAATATTAAAATGTATTGATTTTACTTTTACAAATGACCTCAAGTAATGCCCCCATTGGCGACAGGTCCAGGAACCTCGCTGGCCATTATACTGATCTACCATTTCCAATCTATCTTCCGGGGAAATTATGTGATTGTTTATATTACATTATATTTATGTTATTTATTTTATATTATTTTTTATTATTTTTTTGCATTTGATTTTCCATATTCAATATTTTAACCCACGTCATTGTTAAGTGTGAAAGCTTATCAATATTTTAACGATGAATAGATTAAATATTTGAAAAGAAAACAGAGCCGGACTTGAAATTAGTTTAAATAAATTGTGTTCAAATGTCCAAAACAAAAAAAATACTAAGTGTGGCATATCAACGTACTCAGGAGACCGAGTTCTTTCAAAACCTGAAATAAAAAAAATGCAGGTCCGTGTTTAAAAAACTTAAGTTGGCTGCTGTATCTCACAAATTATCAGCTAATTTGAGAATCTAAAAATACTATCAGATAGTGTAACAGTCAAATTTCCGCGCAACGACCTCTGTGTGCTAGCTCATAAATTATCGCGAATAACTATTATTTTTGCATCATGTTTACTATAATTTTATTGTTAAATATTATTTTATTTAAATTTTACAATTATGCAACCCGTTATACACCGCGATATTATACAGCTACAGCTACACAATATTGTCACTGGACCGGGCACACCACCAGAGTAGGCTTTTTGTCGAGCTCTCTATATCTTTGATCATCACCTGTCCGTCACTTGTCACTGTCAGATCAAATCAGATGTTTTTGGATTTATTTATCCTTTGTTTCGGTTATTGAAATTTTATAATTATCAGATAAAATTTCGTAGTTAAATTGTTTATTTTTGATGTGGATCGCAGTGTGCAATTCGTTTATTTAATTGTGGGAATTTCTGAGTTAAGTTCGTTCATTGACCGGATATGAAATATAGCTGTTGAAAAATATTCTGGAACATCATTTTTTATTTATGCCTTTTTGTGAGTTGGACTAGTCGAGATATATAGTTCTCTATCTATATTCTGGAGGGAGATTTCCGGTTGAAATCTGATTTTGTGAAGGAAATCGAATCCTTGCACCACTTCTTGTGTATTTCCCGACCGAAGAACATCGTGTGAAGAACTGGCTGTCTGTTTCGTGAAGCATTCCCTCTTGGTAATTAGCAGGTCTTCCTAGAGAAGGATTAAGTCTTCCGGAACACATTTGGTCAGAGACGTGGTTGGATTTTGTTGAATTTGTATGGACCACCGACCAAATGTCACCCGTTGTTCCGATTGCACGTGCCCAAGAAGTCCCCGAGAGTTCCAAGGTATGCTATAATTCTTCTGCCTATTCTAAGTCAATGCTCAACTGATTTTTATTCGTATTGTTGAATGGTTTTCGACTTTTCCACGCCCACGTGGTCTAGAAAGATTAGTTGAGTGTTATCTTTCTTAAATCTTATTTGGTTGTTCGTAATTGTAGAGCAAGAAAACCGATCCAGACCGTATAGCACAGAACAGTCCAGAATTCCATCCGTTCCTGTTGTCCGTGTCGAGGTACCCGTTGGACATCATAAACCCTCGTTGAGGTAAAGTTCAGATTCGATTAGTCCTTCTTTATTACCTTTATTAACTCCTATACGTTGTGCTAGTCCTTGTTCTATAATTGAG